CTGACTTATCAAAAGCGAAACGCATAGTAAAACGTTCTAAATCAGAGGCTGCAGTTTTCAAATTAAAGTTATATAGGTAAAGAAAATGAGTTCTGCCTTAACTATACTCCGCACACACATTTAGAAATAACTGAAAGGTTTGGTACAGTGGAACCTCACTCTACGGACACCCGGATATAAGAGACAGTCTCGAGTGTCCCGACAAAATGTTCATATATTTTCTCTAAAAATGACCCGCCCAATACGGACACCGGTTAATACGGACAAAGGGCACTTTTGTGTTTCCCAAGTCACATTAACTCTCATAACAGTAAACCCCGCTTAACAGTTCTTTTCTGTAATTTTCCATGTTAATCGGTTGCTCAATCGAACAATTTAGGGCAACTAGCAGTATTGTTTTTCTTCTTTTTCTAGAGCTGCCATCATTTCGACTGACCAAAAGTCGCGCAACATATCTACATATCCTCTGCTGAGAAATAAAATTGGTTCGCAATTCCTTGGTATTTGTTGTATTTGTCCTTGTTGCTCGTTGTACAAAATCAAGGGAATTCTGGGTTAAAAGAGTGTTCACTAAAAGTACAATATACAGTCTACCTTGCATGTCTTTCATATTGCCCTTCTTCTTGTCCCCAAAACCCCCGCCCCCTTCTCCCGCCCCCGCCGTTGGATTTGAAACCCCCTTGTGCATAGCCTACCCGCAGACGTCCTTTGGGGTTCGTTTGTCACTTATTCATTTCTCCCCCAGAAATGAAGACGTGACAAACGAACCCCAAAGGACGTCTGCGGGGAGGCTACCTTGTGCAAGAATTGCTCCAAACTCCTTATCGTTTTTTTTTTATGTCGACGGACTTCAAACGTCATCAGTGGTAGGAAACGCAAACATAGCTGAAGACAGTGGAAAGACTCAACTAGTTATAGTGACATATACTATCATACCTTTTAATTGCTCTATTTAACAATTATTCCTCGAGCCCAAATGGGCTCTTGAGTCAATAGCCCATGACGCCGAAGGCCGAATGGGCTATTGACTCAGAGGCCATGAGGGCGAGAGGAACAATTGTTTTAGTAAAATCCAACTAGTTGGTCAAAAATATCGAGAATAACAAAATTTTAGCTAGTTAAAGGCTAGACTTTAATCCTTTTTTGCCGCCAAAAAGCCCGCGCTTTTCGCTACTAGGGAGCTATAACATATAGCCTAGTAGTAGCTCAACCAATCAGAACGCAGCATTGATAACAGACCACTGGTTGGATTTTACTAATTCTTATTAGTCATGGTCATGCTAGGCACATTTCAGTTTGACATTAACTTTTCCTTGACAGGACAGTGAAACGTCAGGGACGGCGGAGCTTATTTTGAATTTTGATGGAGTTAGCCCACACGTTGCACGAGTTCAAAGACCACTGAAGGAGCGAGTTTCTCTAGAGGGGTCTGCCAGGAAATTTTGACAATTTGAGATAAACCTGGGGTACTCCTGAGAATTCTTGGTGGGAGTGTGCCGCCTGGGTCTTCAAATCTTGACCCTATTTCAGACCAAAAATGACACTTTTCACACCCGTTTGCAAACCTGGCCTCTGGATCCATACCCGTTTTCAGACCTGCCCTCTAAAGTCATCATTCGGCTTAGATTAGAACGCCAACAAAAAATTTCTTAAAATCCACTTCGTATTTGGTTATTTCTTTCCTGTTCGTTTGGAATTGAAACAAGAAATACGTACATACACCGTCAGAAGTCGATTCCACGAAAACTCTATAAACGCAATTCCAGACCGAACCTAATTCTGTTAGCTTTCTGCACAGAAACTTAAATTTTCGCCACTCAATCCAAGCTCATTACATGGTCGGCAACGGGAAGATAGTCAAGTCATGGACTTTTCTGGTTTTCTGGCTTGGCCCGCCCTTTATACAGCACAACGACAATTTGAAGAGGAAACTAGGCGTGAGCCGAGGCATCCCAGTAAAGTGCAGGAAAACGAAAAGTAAACTGCCGATTTTCCCTGGATTCACACAAGGAAAATTAGGAATTTGCAGGATGTATTCAGAGGTGGGAAAACAGATGGAGAATACCGAATTTTCTAGGATTTGCCGGTTTGTAAAATTATTGGTAAATGAGGGTTTTTTGCCGTGAAGACTGGTTGTAAATTGCGCCAAAGTAATTCAATTATCCAGAAGCTCATCTGCAAATGTAAACATATGTATTTACATTTTGTTGATGCCAGTCTCAATCCAATCCCAATTTTAAGAGACTTTTTGTTTATGCCAGTCCAAAATCCAACTTTTCTCAGTTTTGGAGGCATCTTCTGACAGAACCTTTATTGTTTCTCCTTTTAAAATCCCGTGATGACAATCTTGAAGATGAGATATACCATTTTCACTGGTGTTCTGTATTTGCATAATGGCTTCGTACAGTCAAAACAAAGATTTGGTGAATTTCTTTCCTCCACATTGTTAAACCCGAAGGAAACGGAATATAAAGCTGAAGATATCAATGCGGAACTCGCTCACCCGTTTATTCGAAGTCCAAAGACGGTGTCAAAGGTCGGTGCGTGACGTGTAGGAAATCAATGTCGCGATATCATGCATGGAATCACAGTCCCGAATAAAACCATTGCCAAATTGCCGTTAACTTTAAAAATAACATAGAAGCAGTGACTTTTGCGTATTACCAAGCTAAATTTTCACTTGCACTAATAATTTTAGACTAATTTTATCCAACAGTAATACGATTTTTGTACGGTACTTTCTCACAGTTTCAAGATGGCGGTCATCGAAAAATCTTGCAAATTAGCAAACTTCGGGGAGGTCGTATCGAAAAACTGAAAACGATCCCAAAGAAATGAAAAGGAAACATAAAACATCTATCCTTAAACTGTAGAGAAAGCATATTCGGCGGATTTATTTTGGCGCGTACCGACCGGGTTTTTAGGCAGGTCTTTTATGTCACTCTAGAGCCATTCAGAAAAGACAACGAAGTGCTTTCAACGAAAACCTCTCCACGGGTCGTATAAAGTAGATCATCTGTCAATATACACAATATTTAATTCACCAAGGGGCAAGCTATTTCTTCATAGTAAGAAATAATTTATAGGCTTTATCCCGCTAACTTGAAAGAGTCACGAATATAGTGAAATTTCGGTCCATCAAAGAGGTCATCTTGGTTCAAAATGGACCCAACCGATTTTATTTAATTCCCCTTTTAAACGCAAAAATCAGACCACACTAACCCTCTTTTGTTAACTACGCTACAATACTCTACCAATGTAAAAAGTATCACCGAAAACGAATTTTGAGCTGTGTCAGCGATTTTGGGATTATCTCCGATTCTTACTGACATTGACTCATAATTACTCCGGCTTACCATCCGAGATTCAGTTCCTGAAAGCTATCAAGGAAGGTCACAGTTGCTTTAGACTTTTAACCCCTCTTACGCATTAAGCAAGGCGAAAAACGAAAACAATGCCATTCGCAATCGGATTACCGAATTTTGACAAGCGACGCTTTCTCAATCAAAACCCAATAAACAAACCAGCCTCTTGATAGCAGCTGGATTTCATTTTGTACATCCAGTGGAAAAATACAGTTAAAAACATCACAAGTTGACACAAAACTCTGTCAGCTTCAGCTGTCAAAGTAAACAACTTTCAAGATGCTGCATAAATTTTCCACATGAGCTCACCTGTCGAATTTTGACCAATCAGAGCATAAAAATTGGACGTAGAGAGTGACGCGTGACCATGGTAAGAAAAGGTCTTCGCCGCCTGTATTTTTAAAAAACTGGCTGAATTTTCACGTCCGAGGTCAGTTTGAAATCAAAATCTTAATAGTACGGGCCCACAGTGACATAAACACAACATATTTCATATGAATCATAGGAAAAGATAAACTTGAGCCTGCGATCATTTGAAACTAGTAATTTGTCAGCGGATAACTTCAAAAAAATACTCGACCTCGATGAGTCGACACTTGAGCCCGCGATACGGTAAGGTGATACTGATCAGCGGATACCCTGTTCTGACAGCTGTCAATTGATCACAACATTGATGTGCAATATCAGGTCGCACGCTCCCAAACTAGCTAGAAAGTGTGAGAGTAAACATTGGTCTCCCTGTGGTGCGGACGGACGGACGGTCGCTCGCTCGGTGTACGGTCAAATGATTACCAGATTTTCTGGGATGGGTAGATTTCCTTAGGTATGGGGCTCCGCCCACGCGTGGAGCTCCGCTATAAGTCTAGAGACCTTTAAGTATAAGTGCTTCTAGAAGAAACTAAAAATGTTTGCTTTTCATTGTTGGTGAGAGTTCCTCTGAGAACTTGAGGTAACAAATCTCTTTGAGAAAGAACCACGTCGTTTTAAAAGGCTTGTCTTGAGACAGGACTGCTCAACACTGCTTGACGATGACTTGTGGCCCCTTTGCCGAGTGTTTTCTTTTGCTTTCAATGTTGAAATCTGGAATTTCAGTCACGTTTTGAGTCTTATTCTTTTTGTCAAACAAAACAAAATGTACCCTGTGCTTAGTGAATAGGTAATGTATGCACTGGAAATGTTTTTTCTCGTTCTAAGAACAAGAATGCTCTTTTACAGCAGCATTCAGTCTCGCTTGCTTGGAGATTAGATCGAGAAATGAGGAGGCGATTAATTCTACACGAAACAGGATTTACTCGCTGAAGGTTTTTTACTTCCTACTTTATCGACGTCGATACTTTTTATTTGTTTCTGAATCGCGTGTTAGCGATGACTGGAAATACGTCTACCGCAGGCTATACGCGTGTATAAGTACACAAAAATTCAAGGACCCCGATTCCAGAGTAATTACATCACAGATCAAAAACGCCGGAGATGCCAGAGATCATTTCACGTCATTTCAATCCTCGCCGAAAATAAATCGCATACTCATCACAAAACCTATTTGCATACAAAGTTTACAACACCCAACCATCGCAGTTTTGCTAATTTAGATTCTTATTTTTTTT